CTGTTAAACAGAATCTTATTTTTAGGACAAATAGGTCAAAGAGAAACATAGTTTATTATTTATTTTCTTGTAGTGAACGGCTCAGTGTTTTGAAGACTAATATTTTCTTTACCTAAATTATTAGTGGCCTTAAGTATCACTTTGAAGATTATTTATTTATTTGGGAGAGAGAGGATATGAGAGAGAGAGAGAGAGAGAGAGAGAGAGAGAACGAGCGCATGAGCAGAGCGAGAAGCAGACTCACCCCTGAGCAGGAAGCTGATCCCGGATTATGACCCCAGCTGAAGACAGACACTCAACCAACTGAGCTACCCAGGTTCCCCGTAAATAAGTATGGACACGCAAAAAGGAAAACGCATAGTACATAGGACTTACTACTAAATTCAATGGTGAACCAAGGAGGTAAGGGCAATTTCAAAAGTGGAATTCCATTCCCAGCTGGAATACAGATGAGTCAGAATTATTTTGATATTTCTGTTAGGAAGAAGAATCATTTGAGATAAAACTGTGCTTGACTGATAAAAAGATGAGGTTATAAGGTTTGTAAAGTATTAACAGAGCCTGGGTCGTTACTATGACCCAATATCTGTAAATTTTAAATACATTTCAGTTTGAAGATGTGAAATAGTAATTCCAAAGCAGGCAGAAAACAAGCTCATAAAATAAGAACTAGAAAATTCATGAATTTTTTATTAAAGTTAATAAAAGTTAATCATTTAAGACCGTATATCAACATACAAGATTTTTTGTATCTTTAAGTATATTTTAAATTATTTATAGCCACCAGTGTTGCTAGGAAAGGCAGAAATTCTTAGAGCAGTTAATGGGCCTTCACAATAAGAATGTAAATAAAATCATGGCTTGTTAATTTTCTACAGACACCTTTGGAACAGTTATTAAGTGGTGTTTCATTTCGTCTCTGCACAGAGAGCACAAATCACATTAGTGCAAGCAAATCCTTTTGTAATATACAGGAAATGTAAACAAGTCATATTTTCCAGGAATGATTAAATTCATGATCTTTCATCTTGAAAACATGACTCAACAACATGTAGAACAGAATGCTTCACTTCTCTGGGAGAAAAGCAAAGACCACAAACTTTTATTTATTTTTTTTTTGAATAGCCTTTTGCTTGGATTTTAGCTCCTCCTTAAGACAGCCCCTGCCATGGCAACTTTCAGTTCTCCTCCGAACAATAAGCACCATCAATATTCGTATTATTGGTCCCAAGTTATGACCCTGACTAGGTTGGCATTTTGTCTAACGCCACGAAGTCTTGGTATGATGAACTGACAGCCCCTTCATCCTCCAATTTTTTTCTCCGGAATCCCTTCATGTGCACTTCATCCTCAAAAGAATTCCAACAAGCTACCAAGGCATGACCTTCTCTCCTTTCCTGAAACTTTAGCTGAGGGTGGGAAGCACACGGTGCTTGCTTAAGTGCTTCTCCTTTGAATCCTCTGAATAAGTGGTAAGAACCTGCTCTTTAAGCTGACAAACTTTTGTGCAAGAAAGCCAGAACTATTCCTTTAGCCATCACAGTAGATGGGTTCTGCTGTCTTTTCTCTGAGAGACAGTTGAATTATCTGTGTAAGCTGTTATAACCTCAGGCATGACTCTTTTTCAGCACACTAATCAGCTCAGATCATTCCAGATATTTTAATGTTCCTATGGCTTCAATTTTGTTTTGTTTTCTTTAATAGAACCACAATTTAAGAGCAAATTCTTCTATTTCCATCTTCAAACAAAAGAAAATTCACATCTGACCCTGTTGTTAATTCTAAATCTGCAAGTGGTCTTTTTCAAGGTTTTAAAAGTATTTACTCTTTTTTTTATGGAAAGAAATAGATTATTTTACCTAACCAGGTTATGTTCTATAATCTTTTTAATGTAGTGATTTCTGTCAGATGTCGGCCTCTGGAGGTAAAAGAGGACTTACTGATTCTGTGGCTTCCTTTTTTCTTTCAGGTCTGCGCCACATAACCATTCTGAAGCTTTTAGGGGTTGGAGAGGAAGTTGGGGGAGTGTTAGAACTGTTCCCAATTAATGGTAAAGTGCTATTATTTTAAAATAGTATGAACTACTGGTTAAGTTCAATTAAATTATATTAAACTGCATGCAAGCAGTGGGTGTTACCTGTAAGATGAACACAGTTCACTCAGTCCACCCCACCTTGTGTGTGTGTGTGTGTGTGTGTGTGTGTGTGTGTATGTAAACAAGCAGGAAATAAAGTACAATCACTAATATTGTTTTTAATATAAAATCATTCATAAGTGACAGTAAAAATACCCATTTCCTTAAGTAGAATAATGCTTTTTGTGTGCATAGGACTTTATAATTTACATAGATAATTTTTATCTATACCATTTCATTTAATTCCCAGAATAATTTTATGAAGCACATGGGTCATGTCTTACTGATTCCCTTTCAATACATGAGGATAAATGCTGAAAGGCTCAGAGAAGCTGAAAGAAAATGAGTAGTGACTCAAGTTTTCAGAAAGCAAACAGTCCTTCCTTCCAAGATCAAGATGTTCACAAGAGATAATGTGCATAAACTCGCTGGCACAGAAAGTGTCAGCACCTTCCCCCTTCCTCTTCTTCTTTTTGCTGACCATAATAGTTTAAATACATTTATCCACATCTTCATAATTGGTATTTCACCCCTTGACAGTGAAATAAGCTTTTTGTTATAATAAAAAGTATCAAAAGGAAAGCCATATTTGCAAAGAAGTAATAACTAAGCTAATTGGAACTAAACTTAGAAATATAAACAATATAATCTTTGTGACAAACTTGAAACAAATTGATCTTGCCAGAACTGAATTAAAGGACTGGTTTTATATTTCCTAACATTCCCTATAGAAGAAACATCCTGTCACCTAACATTTGACGCTAATAATGTTGCAGAACATGTGGGACATTTAATTTGTAGTGGAAAAACTCAGCAACCTTCTTTAATTGGATTTTGAACCAAAGGGAACAGACTCATGGGTCCTCCTCTCTCTATTCTCAGAGTGACTTGTTCTCATTTTGATGTTTGCTTAAGGGCTGACTCTTCAATCTACTAACAACAACTTTTCTAACCCTTTCTAGGGAGTTCTGTTGTGGAGCGAGAAGACATACCAGCCCATTTGGTGAAAGATATCCGGAACTATTTTCAAGTGAGCCCAGAGTACTTCTCCATGCTTCTAGTTGGAAAAGATGGAAATGTCAAATCCTGGTATCCTTCCCCAATGTGGTCCATGGTGATTGTGTATGACTTAATTGATTCGATGCAACTCCGGAGACAGGAAATGGCCATTCAGCAATCACTCGGGATGCGCTGCCCAGAAGATGAGTACGCAGGCTACGGTTACCATAGCTACCACCAAGGATACCAGGATGGTTACCAGGATGACTACCGTCATCATGAGAGTTACCACCATGGATACCCTTACTGAACAGAAATACGTAACCTTAGCCCCAGCCAGTTTCCCCTGCAGCTGTTAAAGCCACAAGTGGCCAGCTACGTAAAGAAGTTTTTCCACACTGCCTACATTCCTTGCCTTTTTCTTTCCGTGTTCTTCCAAAATTAAATAAATAGCAAACTTTTGCCTACTCGTGAGTTGTTATTGAAGCCTTAAGTCATAAAGATATTTAAAAGAATTGTTCATTTCTCTTATTGGAGGGGATCTGGTGCTGAATGGATATTTTCTTCTTCTTACATGATAGACATTATTTGGAATACAAAATTCTATGTAAAAATATTAATACCTCTCATTTAGTTTTTAAAAGTTTTCATTGGTAAGTAAAACCATGATTGTTAAAGAAAATTAAAGATCACAGCACAGATGTTTTCAGGAAATGTCTGAACACATGTAACAGAGGAAACAGCTTCTTAACACTTTTGGAAATGTCAATCTAAAAATGAGTGAGATGCCTCTGCTTTATATTGTGAGTTTCTTTCATAAAGCTTGGTACCATAGGAGTCTAATGATATTGGCCACCAAAGCCAGGAAAAGCACCAAACCCAGCTTTGCTATCATAGCCATTTTCTGCCCTGTTTCTCTTATCTTATTGTCTTTTCAGAGATAGATCAGAAGGCCAGGAAGAGGAAGACCTAAGTCTGGCCCTGCAGCCAGAGGTGATACTTCCAAGAGTTTTAGCAGGTGCCATGGAATTCCTGCCATGGAAAACCTTAACTCCCTCACACTTGACCCCTCTGTACTTACTTGTTAATGGACCTATTACCATACTGGCATCTTATATAAGAAAATTACAAAGAAGGAGATTACATCCAAGGGTTCTTTTTGTTTTCCCAGGTAAGTGTTACTAAGTTATAAGGGATAGAAGTGTAGCTAGAGGGCAAAATACAATCTTTATCTTTGTAAAAGAGCATTTATTTTTTAGATATGGCAATTCAAACTAAATATGCTCCCTCCTTCCCTTTCTCTTTCCCACTTTTCTTTTTTTCAACAAATAAATACCAAGTAATGTTACCAACTAATATCTGTGAACTTGCCAACTTGCCCTGAGGTAGTTAGTCTGATTCCCAGGCATGTAGCATCCTAGGTGCTAGCCTCTATCTATAATGAGGATGTTTATTTTTTTGTCTCTCTTACTGATAACTAATTCTCCAAATCATCTTGGTATTGGTCATTAACTCTAAGGAGCATAGATATTAATAACTGCATTTAAGCCACCTTTGAATATTAGCTATTAATTTATCTGTGCCTATTTGCACAATCCATCTTATATTATCTGGACTTTGTTATACATAATTATATGGTAAAAGTGGAATTTGTAGCTCAATAAACTTGAGAAATCACTTGTTTTGCCCTTTATTCTCCATGAAGACCATTCATTCTTACCTGATTAGGGAGCTGAAGTCCATATAGTTCAAGTGACTTTAAAACTTAGTTCTCCTATGTAAATTATGCTTCCACTCCCCTCCCCTCCCATGGTGAATGAAGAGCTTTCTTCCTCTCTCTTTTTATATTTTTATTTATTTATTTATGATAGTCACACACAGAGAGAGAGAGGCAGAGACACAGGCAGAGGAAGAAGCAGGCTCCATGCACCGGGAGCCCGACGTGGGATTCGATCCCGGGTCTCCAGGATCGCGTCTTGGGCCAAAGGCAGGTGCTAAACCGCTGTGCCACCCAGGGATCCCCCTCTCTCTTTTTAGAACAGTCTACACCAGCTGCTCAAAGTGTGCTGGTAGGAGGACCAGGATGATGTACTTGCTCTTAAATATTTGCCAAGGTGATGCATAGCTTAAAATTGCCAATAAAAAATGGATTTATTTACCATTGCTTCTGAAATTATATAGGGACAATTTTTAAGTACGAGGTCTAAATAGTCTCGATTTCAGGAAATACAATAATGAAGGAGTTTCATCTCCCAAGGAAACCAATTGGATAATCATAGACAATTTACTTAAAGAATAATATTAGCAAAGTTCTAGTTTCGGCAACCAAAGAAGACAATACTTTTTCATAATCTGAGATTACTTTTCACTGGCACTGAAATAGCAGTGTGTCTGAACTCTCTTTCCTTTCATGGCCTAGAAGCCATGAATCATCATTTGGGTGCTGTAGAATAAGCCATAGCTCAGCAAAGGGACTGAGACACATGCAGAGGAAAACACTGTTGGGAAATGTCCTCGATTTCTATAATCTGGAAAAGCACAAAGTACATTTCAGTAAATGGGAGGATAAGAGAGTTAGATCACCTGAATCTCTGTCTTCTGGGAGTACAGATCAGATCATTTGAAATCTGGGGTTTTTTTTTTTTTTGTTTGTTTTTGGTTTTTTTTTGATGAAAGTGTTTCCTTCCAAACAGCAGCAACAAAGAAGATAAAGTTTTTGAGAATTATTATGGAATTACAATATTTAGATTAAAAAGTACCCAGTAGAGTGAGAGAAATCTGGAAGACTCTGAGGAGGACAAAGTTGCTGATTGTCACAATTCACTTTCGTGAATTTCCAGGAATTGTTTTTCGCTGGAGAAATCGCAGGGCTCTGAGATGAATATTCGGCAGAGAGATCCTTCCCTGGATACAGAGGCAGGCAGTCCACACACAGTGGAATCAGTAGAATCCAGCTGGTCTCATTTTTTGGAGTATAGTTAACATTGAAGTTCACATACCTTCTCAACTTGTAGATCCTTGGTGATAAAAAAACAACTCAAGACCAGGGTGAATGATGGCTTTACGGCCCCTAATTGATGATCTCAGTATTCAATAACATAAGGAAATTCCAGAAAGAAAAAAAAAACCTCTTGAAAAGAATCTCTGTTTTTCTGCCACTACTAACTCCCCTTTCCCTGTAGGATTGCTTTCCTTTCCTCCATTCTCCTTGGCTGCTCTGTACTCAATGGTTTGGGGTGTGCAGATAGTGGGGTGTGGTTGATGAGTACTCTTAACTTCATGACAAAATGAAGCACAGTTAAATGCTAACTACTTCTCTTCAGTTCTCTCATAGTTGGTGCAAATCTCCCAATGCCAAACTTTTCTTAGTTTTGGACATGTTATTAAGAACCAAGTTTAGGGCAGTGAGAGGCAAAGGGCCAGCTGTCACAGAAGTCAAGAATGTCATAAAATGGCCACCAGACTTGGGAAAATGGTTGGTCCTCACTCTGCCACAGACTGATCTGTGTGACTGACCTGAGGCAAGTCACTTTACTTTTGGGACTCAGTTCCTGATCTACAAAATGAGAGAGTAGTAATAGATATCTAAGTTATCATCTAACTCCATGGTGTTTATGAATCTTTCTTGGCCTTTAGGAGCAGGATCCTAAACTCAGAGGTTTCCTATGGTAGAGCTAATGTTAAATTCTTAGAGAACCCAAACTTCATAGTTCAGATTCCACTTTTAGATGTTTATGGGAATAGGGCAATATATTGAATAACTTCTTTCCAGCATGGTGCATTGGGGCAGCTGAACCCAACAGGTTCATCACCTCTGAACACAGGAAACCTCATCATCTCCATACAGCCAGAATGGAACTTCCAAGGACATTCAAGCTGTCAAGGACTGAGCATCCTGAACATTGATGGAGTCCCTCCAACAAGGCATATGCTTGTTCTCTGACACAATTTCCTAATGTGGCAACCACATGCATCACCTCTCTGATATCCCGAAGTTGAACAAACTGGGCTATCCTTGAACAGACTGCAGAGACCTTAAATATTAGCACTTTCCTTCTAGAAAGCAAAAGAGTGATCTTCATTCCTCCAATCTATCGGTTGATACATGTGGCAAAGATGTTGGGTGAAGGGATGGGATGATTTTAAGTAGCTAAAACTGACCCTGGGCAAAATTTTCTTTGGCTTTCCACCTCCACCATAAGAATCTTTTTCCTCTCACTTGGCCCTTTTCCAGGCCACTTTCCCATGATCCATTCCAGCTCAGGCTACAACCGGTAGGCTATAGGTGCCACCCTTTCTAAGAAATCTAAAAGTGCAAAAGGAAATCCTTGAAGCAGAGAGGTAGGGAACAAACCACTTCTGGAAGACTGCCAATCTTTGGAAGCAAGGCTTGCTTACCTTCCCAAAATGTTAGAGAAAGAATAAATTCCTCCTGTAGACTTCACCATCATTCCATTTGTCTCCTTCAGTCCTCTTTTCTATCTTTAGCTTATTTCCTTGTGATAAACACTCCTTAGAGATTCAAAGTAGGGCAGGGTAGGCAGAGGCCCCCAAATTTGGCAAGTCCTGATCCACAATAGCTGTATGCAAAGAACCATCTGGTCATTCTGGTTCTTAATCCAAGACACTAGCTTGTAGATTAGACTCAAGTTATATGATCATTCAAACATTAATTGTATTTATACTATTTCCTGGGTAGTCTGCTAGAAAACACGAGTATAAAACAGAAAAAAAAAAAAAGTCCCTGCACAGAAGCTCGCAGACCAGTAGAGAACAGTCATACACTCAGTTATTTATAAAATGCTGTGTATGGATAATCAATATTGGGTCCTCATAGGGGGTGGGAAGGTTAAGGGCACAGAGGGGAACAAGGAAAGATGAGTGGTGATAATCCTTCAGTCTTTTGGAATCTAGAATTATAAACTTTTCTTCCTGTCAAGCTCCACATGATGTGAGCAAGTGCCTCATATTGTCTCCATTGTCACCATGATCATGTCTTTGGATACTCACAATGCAAGCACCGTTTCTTCTGGGAACTTCCCTCTCCCAGATTTAAGAAGTTGTCTACATATCCACGGGAATATGGTGGCATTAATTCATTTGTAAACACCCTTTCCCTGAAATAAACCAAAATGAACAAAAATTAGTGAGTATATAGAAGAAAACTTCATCAAGATTGAAACTAAGGGTGATCCCTGGGTGGCTCAGCGGTTTGGCACCTGCCTTCAGCCCAGGGTGTGATCCTGGAGTCCCGGGATTGAGTCCCACATCAGGTTTCCCTGAATGGAGCCTGCTTCTTGCTCTGCTGCCTATGTCTCTGCCTCTGTGTGTGTGTGTTTCTCATGAATAAATAAAAGTCAAAAAAAAAAAAAAAGATTGAAACTAGGGAATGGCTTTAATCCTACAGCATAAACTTTGAGTAAACTATCTCCAACTTGGGGACACTTGGCAGGAGGAAAGATAAGTAATACATTTGTAGTCCATTGCCCATATAAGGGTCAGCTTAGAGGTCAAAGATAGTGACATGGCTGTGTCCTTATGTTCCCCCTTTTGACTCACCTAGATTTCTAATTGGAGGAAGGAGGTTTGGAGGTGGGGGTGTCTATATGGAGGATAGAGTTGGTTTACAGCTAGGCTTGGAAATGCTTTATCTTTATCTCTGGGGAGATAAAGATGTCTTATTTTTGACTCTTGGCCAAGATTACAGCAGTAGGATTTATGAAGTGCTGTTTAAAGTCTGGAATTACTCTGGTGATCCCTAGGGTCAGTTTCTTCAATGATGGTTTCCAAATGGCCTAAAGATTAAATAAACCCAGCTGATTACATGGCCAGCAAGGCATAAAAATCCTGGAAAATTCTGCTTTGAGCTCTCCCAGAGTCAAGATTCCCCACACAGATCTTTCAGGCAAGAGACAATGGAGATGGTGTGGTCTGTATGAACAGAGGAGAACCCTGTAGAGCTTAGTCATGAGCTCTCTCTCTCTCGGACCTCCAATGTCTATGTTCCCCTTTTCTTGCTGCACTGTATCCATTGCCTCTAAATAAAAGTGAGTGTACTCTGTGGAGTCTTATGAGTTCTTTCAAATATAAGAACTTGGGATATCTTTGCAGGGTGGTGTGTGTATGTATGTGTGTGTTCATGTATGTATTTATGTATTTGTATACATATATGTGTGTATATATATAATTTGCAAACTATAAAATACATTTTATATAGCATATTAGATGTATATAATGTATTAAATATAATAATATATAAAATATTATGATATAGAAATATTCAATATAAAAAATCTAGCAGTAAATTTTACATCAGTAGGGAAAGTTCACGTGCTACTTTCAAAGCACTTCCCTTAACCTGACTTCTTACCAAAGCAGGGCGCTCCATCTAAAACAGAGGAATAAACTAAAACTCAAGTGACACCCCCTCCTCACAGATGGGAGACAGTTTTCCCCCATCTTTATGGGGCTGGCCCTCAAAGCAGAAGTTTCAATCAATATAGAAAAAAGCATCATCTGCAAAGTTTCCTCATTGCAACTTCTATGGTCCCTGCTTCCCAGTATCCAGGTAAAGAGCCACTAGGTTAAGGAGATTCTACTTATACCATTTTGTGGCGCATATTTGGCCCCCTTGGAGTATTAAACTTTGTTTAAAGATGAGTACACATAAACCTTAAAGAAAAGACCCATATAATAGCCATTCAATCACTGTTCTTCTAGGCTTAAAAGACAGCTCCCCCCCCCCCCACAAAACAGCTCATATATAAAAGGAAAAAAGATACACATACACACATCAATACACAACAAAATAGCAGGGAAACATTTAACTTGTAAAACTAAATGGTAAAAAAAGAGATTTCTGATAGTAAAAAAGGGTGACCAAGAAATATTTTCCAGACAAGCCGTTATTTATGTTCAGTGACTACAGAGTAATAAAAAGAAATGTAAAACCTGCTTGAGCAATGCGACTAGAAAAAGTGCTGTTAGTAAATAATTGCTAGATGCTTAAAAAAAAAAAAAAAGAAAAAACAAACCCAAATCTCAGGAAGTGTATCAGCCAAAAGCCCTTTCAGAAGAGAAAAAATCTATTTCACGGCAGCTTCCAGTTGAGAGATAAATTAGCATTAAGAAGTTATGAATGAGGAAATTATGTTATGAACAAATTAAGTTTAATTAGCTGTGATAATTAGAATTAGTATTAATTCTTGAAAGAAAAGATATATAACAAGGAACAAAAACTGAATGAACTTCCAAATTTCACCATGTCTATGGCAGCATTAATTCCAAAAGGTATCAATCACTATTTTATGTCCTAAGAGAGGACACTCTCAATTAAACATATTATTTTTTGTGACTTAGAATTTTTACTTTATATTTCTTTAAAGAACTCTTAAAGACATACCTACCATTTTCTGGTTACACAAAAAGGGAAACTGGAAGTTAAATAAATTAATTAAGCTATTTCTAAAACACCTTTCCATTTTGAGCCAAAAATCTTTTGAATAACATTCTGGGGCAGAGCTGCAGATGTCTGAGGTTTCCAGAGTTCTCTGTGCCCTTGAGAGAACTGATCATGATGTAGCATTTCTTAAGTTTCTCTGTCTCCAGGGTTTTTAAAAACTTTCAAGCTATTGACACCCAATTTGTAAAATGTAATGCTGGCATGTTCCTGATCTTACTGGGAGGTCTCATTGCAAGATTTTCAGGCAACAACAGGACTCTTATGCTCTCCTCAAATGGTTTGGGTTTTTTGAGGGGGGCAGGGAGGAGGGTGCAGAGGGAGAGAGAGAATCTTAAATGGGCTCCACACCCAGCACAGACCCTACATGGGGCTCGCTGTCACAACCCTGAGAGTATGACCTGAGCTGAAATCAAGAGTTGATGCTTAACCAACCGAGCCACCCAGGCACCCCTCTCCTCAAATGGTTTTTAAGTGGTTTGTTGACTGATACGTTGTCCAGTCACACCAAATGCCTATATGTGCAAGCAAAGACAACTTCATTATTACACCACAAAGCAGCAGTCATTTTAACCTGCCATTGCTTAAGGTATTCCAGTTTCAGAAATGGTAATGTGAAAACATAAGAGTCTTAGAGAAGACAAGATGCAGTATAGCAAACCTGGATAAAATCCTCAAGCTTTTTAGAAGAAAACTGAGAGTTGGGAGGAAATATCCTAAGTTCCTCATCTCAGTGAAAGGAGTTGATGACTATATTTTAATTTTTCAAATTGCTAAGTTTATAAATAAGGTTCTAAATTTGCTTTTTTAAATGTAAAAGTAATTACTAGTGATGAAATGGATTAGAAAGAGAAGTAGAATAAATGTCGAATACTACAAGAAACTCTCAGACTGGCTCAAAATAACAAACCAATACCAACTTTCTCAAAAAAAGTTATTGTGTACTAAAGGACCAGCCAAACTACACTAGTAATTCAATAAAAATATGCAAACAACCACGGAAAGAATACAGATCTCATTTTCTAACTAAATGTACGAAACCAGACATTAACAAAAGAATGAATAGAAACCTCAACCCCACAAGTCTTGACTCAAAACAGACTAGTTTGAAAATAATAATACTATATTTTAAGGTCTGTGGGGGTTGGCCTAATATGTATTTATGCCAGGAAATGTTTCTACTAGTTATAAAAATGCTCATTAACAAACGAGAAAGGAAATAAATGTATTTCAAGTACATAAGATGGAAAAAGAACATAAAACAAATCTTAGAAAAATGGAACACAAACTTCAATAAAATAAAAATTAGAAACTGCTTGTTAACTTATTTTAAGAAAATACAGAAGCCATTCACACACAAAATTAAGAATATAGAACTATAGTTACAGAAAATTAAAAGAATTATGAGACTGATTCAAAAATTCCTATGCAAATAAATGTGAAAATCTGGATGATCTTTTAGCAAAATATAAGTGACAAAGTAGACCCAGAAGAGGACAAAGGATAAATAGAAAATGTTGGGGGGGGGTGAGTACTCAAAAAATGCCAAGCTGAGGCAATTCTATTGGTGAGTTCTTTCAAAACTTTAGGGAACACATAAAGCTGACGTTTTAAAAATCTTTCCAGGGCACCGAGGCCAATGGGAGTTGGCAGCTTGACCCACACCACATCCGTATGGGATTGTCAGGGACATGGGTTGATAAATCCCGGCAGGATTAAATGCATTACTGGCAATGTCAGCAGGTTTTTATCTTGGCAGAGACAGGATGGTGCTTGAAACAAGTAAAATAGCAAAAGAGGGCAAATGTTCTGCAGGTTAAAGGGATTTATTGTGATTTTATTTGAGCAAAACAACCCCTTCTCACTAAACTCATATTTGAATTGGAAGTTTATTGCTTTTATAGCTACGTTCCTATTTTAATTTGCAAATTTGTTTTGGTTTTCATATAAACTATGAGCAAAAAAAGTTTATACTTCATATTATGTTTGTATGAATTTATATAACAGCAAAGGAGAAAAAGGTCAAAGTTGAGATCTGTGAGAAAAAAAAATTTTCTCTTAAAAGAGGAATATATATTACTCAATTTCAGAAAGTCAGCTCTAAGTGTCAGAGAAGGAGAACCACTGTCTTTCCTTTGCGTTTGGCTTTCTCTGCCTCTTCACACTGGAGTGGCAAGAGTTGGTGGGGAAAATCAAGATTTACATATAAGGGAGAAGAGCCAAGGAGGAACCTGGGCTGTCTTGGGTCAAGCCTGTTAGGTCTGTTCAGAAAATTGAAGGGATTCCCTGCAGCTCCAGTCAAGTCCAACTCATATGCAATGGGATTTCCACATAGGGATTGAGGCAAGCCTTAAAAGAGTTGTAAACAAAATAATCTGGCCCGGAGTCTCCTCTGCATGTGGACTCTATGCAGCAGGACACAGCTGGCCAAGGATCTGGGATCCTGGGTCTAGGCCGTCTTTCCCTCTACAAGCAGCATCCACATCCTGCTTCCCCTCAGGATTAGGCACATTGCTGGACCTAAGTTTGGTCCTGGGGCCAGTGAAAGAGCTGGAAGCAGGTCACTGCAGGCCATACCTGTGGCCCAATCAAAGGCTATTTGGAAGCCGTGAAGCAAACAGATTTAGCACATCAGTTATAGAAGTTTTAGATGCTTAACAGAGCATCTAAAAATAAGAAGGGCCTTCAGAAATCACTTAGGCCAACTTCTATGCCAATGAAGGAATCTGTTCTAAAACATCCTGATGTTTTAGAGTCTCTCCCTGAAAACTTCAGTAATTGAGAATTCACTACTACTACCACTCTGCAGGAGTTGAAAAGAATCATTTGTCAGGAGGGTCTCACTTATAAGGAAAGAGTAACCATCACCCTAAAATTTTCACTACACTTTGGTTCTTTGGAGTAGAAAAAACTACTTTTTCCACATGACAATTGTTCTTCTCCCCAGGTTATACACTGTCTCCAAGAGCACCCGAGGTGATAAACTATGGTTTCAGGACCTCTGACCTTCCAGTTAGTTATTCTCCTTTTAAAGCACTAGTGCCCGCAAAGTATTGCAGCACACCCACATCAGAACTTTACATTTTACTTCTTTTTCTTTATCCTATTAAGTGGTCAATTAACACAAGTAAACCTATAATTACAGATAAAGTCATTGTAAATAAGAAAATCAAGCTCCACGAAGTAGTAAAATCCATTTTATGTAATATATTTAATGTAGGCAATACCTTTGCCAATAATATTGTAATTTTTTCTGTTCCATAAGATAATTTTACATTTTTCCTAAAAGTGAGGTATTTCTATACCTGATTTTACCTTTAATGTGAATTGCCATATTAATGTAATCTCCCTCTTTCACAACATGGAGGGCTATACCTATGATAAGGTGAACAGTTTCTCTATTCTCAGAAGTCAAGATCTACTGAAAAATAAAATTTCAAAAGTTGCTTGGATTTCTTGCTTCGCTCCATTTTTTTTAAATGAAAATGAAAAAGAACTCTGTGTCCCATCTCACATGACAGTGATAACTCAAGGTAAAGGTTTAATAATTATTTTATTTACAAATTTCCACCAACTTTTGCCTGTCATATTATTCCAGGTATCACAGATGGATTATTTACAGTATTATCACATGTTCATCTGCATGAAAATCAGGGAAGAGATATACAGAGTACATGGAGATGACATCTTATAGTTCACATTTACAGTGTAGTGCTTTGTAAACATACAGGCTTATAAACTAGGCCTGTCCTATCATAATCCAGCTGCATGACCTTGGGTAAGTCACTTCTTTTTCTCACTTTTAAATTATCTATCACCTGACTTCTCTACCTCATACTTAATTGGCAGCATGCAAAAATACCTAAAAAAATATCATGCATTGAAGCATCAATATAATTACTGTACTTTGTTATGTTTCCTCATTTTAGAGTAAGAGTACCCATATTTCAATGAAAGGCATTTGTTTGCAAAGTGATCCTTTTAAGAGCACTCTTAGGCATTAATCTTACTGACAGTCTTAAGCCAATGCCTCAATTCTTAGTAACAGGGTATGATAGTGAGATACACAACAATCTTAAGTTCTAGTTAGTAACTAATACAATGAAATGACTCAATAGATCCCTAAAATACTCCAAAAGTAATGAGGTAAAACCCAGGAGAAAAAAAGTCCATCGTGGCTTACTTAAATGATTTAAAATCCAAGTGAGAATCGTGGTAATTGGGAACCAACTTTTACCTAAATTAAAGCTTATTTGTGCAGAAAAACATCAAAAGATAATCAGTGAAAATCATATTCTCTATGAATTTCTGAAAATTAAAATTCTAACACTTTTGTTTCTGAAAAATTGCTTCTTTGTCAAAACATCTGGCACAGACTACACTGCCCTCAAATCAATGTTGTAGCCAGATGGTAAAGTCCTTCTGTCAAATTTTTTAGAAAGAGTCACATTTTGTTTTTTAACTGTAAAGTGAGTATCTCCAGGGTTTCAAAATTCAAGGTACAACCTGGAGGATATTTATAATGATACGTAAGGGAAGACTTTAGCATGCAGAATGGAACTACATAATTATGAATATCTGGCAAACCAATCGCTATTTGTGTATTTATAGGGTAGAGTCAACATGATTATTATGAGTTTTTGGAACCCTGGAGGAGAAGGGAAATAATGTGGGAAGTGTCTTGTCGACTTACCAAGTACCATTAATGCAGTCTCCAGACTATTACTCCCATCAGTTCTTTAGAACATTTTAGCCTTTGGGGACTCTAAGCCTTGGATGGAACTATTCAGGGAGTGGTTAGATATATGCAAACAGTTATTATGCTTGAGAAATGTTCTTGTTTATCAAAGTGAAAAGATAAACATCACACATGCTGAAAATGTGAAAATAAGGGTTTCTGAGAGTTGTCAATCATTTCGGTACCAATTAAAAAGTATCTTCATCTGATTCAATATCACTTTTCGGTTTGGTAAGTCTCTCCAGTTCTTCTCCATCCTAAAAGAAAGATGAAATCAGTAATTACAACAAACCTAGAAATGTATAATTTTTAATGATTACTAAGGAGAAACACTGACAAATATATTTCACTAAACTACAACTATAATCTAGTCAAATGAAATTAAATAACTACTCATGTTCTTTGAAAGTGAATTTTAGACACATAATGAGATCACAAAAAAATCGACATACATCTCAGTACTTGAATTCCAAAGTTAACAGGAATGCAGTAAGGAGCACCCTCTGCTGGTCTTGAAGGGAAATAACTAGTGGTTTGAGAAAGTATAAACTAGGTCATTACCTAAATCTGTATATATATTTTTTTACCTGAAAAGTAGGGCAAGCAGTGTTATCAGACCACTGGAAAAGAATACAGGACTTTTGAAACTATACTCTGGCCAAGATCAGGGTATTTGGGACTCACCCTTTTAATAATTTTTTCATCTTAAGAATCTGCTGGATCACCACTTAAGAGACATCACTGATGGAAACTCTACTACAAATAGGCAAGAGATTTTCCCAAAGAGAAATGTTCATTTTGCTAAGTACTTAATATTTTGTGTGTTCATGAAAATTGTAAATTTAAAGCTAGTTAGAGGGACACCTGGGTGGCTCAGCGGTTGAGTGCCTGCCTTCGGCCCAGGTCGTGATCCCGGAGTCCCAGGATCTAGTCCCGCAATCGGGCTCCCTGCAAGGAGCCTGCTTCTCGCTCTGCCTGTGTCTCTGCCTTTCTCTGTGTCTCTCATGAATAAATAAATAAAACCTTTAAGAAAAAGAAAAGAATTATAAGGAACTTGCAAAATAATACTTATCCAGGGTCACTGCATAAGTATTTTTCTAGGAAATATTTTTCTCTTACTCATGAGGACCCTTTTCAAAAATCACCTTCTTAATGAGGTAAGACCTAGCCTTCTGGCACACTGGGGTTTTAACTCAGGGAAAATCAAGGAGCCAAGCCTTCCATTTATATTTAACAAGACTTACTAATATCAAAGATCAACTTTTCTTATGAATGAGGTATATTTCCCTGACGATGGTGGAGTGGAAAGAGTAATGCACTAGGGATCAGACCTCATGGGTTTAGTATCTTTTACATCCTTTCTATAACCCACGTAGTCTGTTTATTTACCAAACCAGAAAGACTGGCCAGGGTAACCTGTGGGACATCTTCCAGCTCTGTGGCTTTATAATATTCTAAGATACAACTAACACAGAAGGTCCTTGAGACTGTGATTTATATTTTTTCTCCACCCCTAACAGCATTATCACAAGCCCTTGAACATGTAAAGCCCAGTGAATGTTAGTTGAATAATTTTTAAAAGTCACAGAAATCCAATGCATCCTTTGATAAAATAAGCACTGACCGATTTCTCTTCTTGTGTAACCATGTGTCAAATTTAGGAAGAATAGGCAAAAGGCAGCATCCTCCCAAACTTACCCCAGAGGAGCGCTCCCAAAGACTGCCGCCTAGATCTCGGACTCTTTCTTGCCTAGGTGCATATTCCAGACCTTGAGGCTTGCTGGCTTTGTAAATAAATATGGAGAGAAGAACTGAGGGAGCTTCTAAGAAAAATTCTAGGGAGGGCCTGAAGTCAAAGACCAGCACAGACACTGTTGTGATGATGACAGTGGTGACCTGGGCCATCAAGACATGGAACATGTTATCCAGGAACTTCAGGATAAAAGCCACGGAGAGGCCCTGGAATGCAGTCACAAAAATAAGAGCAACTGAAAACACATTGTGGCCATAGAAAACTCCGCAGTTCTTAATCTGATTACGGTTACTGCCCTGAAGGCCCAGCGTCAGTCCATTAAAAAGGATGCCAAAGAAATAGAGTTTGCTGTTCTGTATGAAGATGCTTTCGGTGAGCTGGTTCCCTTCCTTCAGTATCTTTTCATTATAGATGTTGGCCATTGAAGAAATAAAACACTGGACGATGATCAGCACATGGCCCAAGCCGAGACGGATGTGGCTAAAAACCATGGCTGTGGTGTTCCACTTAGCTTCAGGAAAAGTCCATGCCTTTTCCGTGCAGTTGTCTTTTCTGGGACACTCACTTCTGAAAAGAAGGCAGGAATTGGATGGGCTGAAGAAGGCATCGTGATGAAATCCATGCCCTGCCAGGTTATGCTGGGACGTTTCGGTCCCAGCAGTGAGAGCCACAATGGACAGGAACAGAATCAGGAGGGAAGCCCATTGTATCCAACTTAGATGCCTCCTGTTCAAAGAGGAAGAACAAGATTTTACTACTGTTTCCCTCCCTCCCTTCGCCCTGTCGACTGTTTCTACTGAAAACTCAGACACTTGAAGTACTTGGTTGAATAAACTAGACTGTTTTTGCTCCCCTTCCTGATCCAAGTTCAAAGGAAACCTGTTGGTGTCTCTGCTTCTTAAGCTTGGTATTTTTTATTTACCCCTGTAATAATTGCCCTTTAATGCCATTCAGTCATTTCACCTCATTGTAAGTTTCCTTTTAACTTTAGTTAGGAGATTTAACTAAGTCTCCTTTTTGCCTCCAGAGCTGATCTTAGATCTTTGTGACAATAACTTTTTGTCTTGCTATGAGGTAAGTTATGGCAGAGATTCTCAATCCGATTTCCACGAACATGAATTCGGAGCTTTAGAAATCCGCGAATCCTTGCAGTGAGTGCCAATTCTTCTATACAGGTGACTTCCCAGCCCCACCCCCATCAATCCCATAGACTCTTCAAAGCTCTGTCAAATTTCAAAGGTGTTTGTGACCCAAAAACTATTTAAGGAGGGAGCCTGCTCTTAGATCCATGGCCTAATCATAAAGCATTTTATAGCAAACTACTGGTTGGGACAGCACGGAAAAAAATATTTTTAGTGTTTCAGTTTACAAAGTCTTAACAATGCTTTATCTCTTTACTTATTTTGCCTAAACACAAACCACAAACTTGTGTGATATAGAAGACAAACATATTGTCAATCTGTTCTGTGGATTCATTCAGTTCAAAAGACATTTAAATAAGCAACTACTTTGTGCCAGGTTACTATGTGCCTGGGGAGATAAGACTTGATCTCCATCCTCAAAGAATTTACACTTTAATAGGGGAAAAGCCATGAAACTAAATAATGCAAACATAATATGTGACAAGTGATACATAGAACCATTGGGTCACAATAAGGAAGGAACCCTTGAGTCCATAAATGGAGTCGGGCATTGTTTCAAAGAAAAAAAAAATGACCCTTGAAGTGAAACATAAAAAATAAACTGGAATCTGCCATGTGAAAAGGTAGCTGGTGATATATCTAGCCAGAGGGAAGTCTATACAAAGACAACAAATGTACAATGTTGACTAAGGATAGCGGAGTAGCTGACACAGGTTGGGGTAGATAGGGGGAACAAATCTTCAAGTTTACAGATGAATTAGTCAGGTGAAGAGGCAACACACACAGAGAGAACAAGTAAAGGAAGAAGTGTAAAGCACCAGGTAAGAAATGGAAGTTTTAAGACTTTTGGAGCATTTACTGGATACCTTCTATGGGTCGGGCAATTTCTGTTCTAAGGAAGAAAACAGTGCTCTGAGAGGTTAACAGACTTCCCTTTCTTAAGGTCACGTATTTATGAAAAAGCAAGGAGGGGATCTGAACCATGGTGTGCATGTCTTCTTTTTGGACCAATGAACCTCTAAGGCATAATGTTTAAGGAGAATGCGTTCCCAAGGAGCATATATACAGGAAGAGGTATCTGATATCACTAATGCTTTCACAGAGCGTCATGGATTGAAGTTGATAAATGCACACAAACCTAGACAGCAGCACGCACTTGCACCCTATCATGCCTTCTCATGTATGCACTTTCAAACAACCAGACCTAGCATTTAGTTATGAGGCTACTATGCCAGGAGGTCAGAAACTATGTACTAATTACATAAATTTCTACAGGTGTAGCTGGTATGCGGTAAGTGGTAGAAAGCAAGTTGACTGGAAATAGAAAAGAGACATGAAAAGTATATGCTGGGCAGCCCGGGTGGCTCAGCGGCTTAGCACCACCTTCATCCCAGGGCATGATCCTGGACACCCAGGATTGAGTCCTACATCAGGCTCCCTGCATGGAGCCTGCCTCTCCCTTTGCCTGTGTCTCTGCCACTCTCTCTCCGTCTCATAAATAAATAAATAAATAAATAAATAAATAAATAAATAAATAAATAAATAAATAAATAAAATAATTTTTTAAAAAGAAAAGCATATGCCCAATTTATAAAAACCATTATATAACCAATTATTGGATATTAAGACAAATAAGGTAATAATATAACTATAATTCCTTTAGAAGTTTACCATTCTGAGAGCTATAGATATTCCACTAATGCTGACATTGAGAAAAAAGAATCGAATTAAAGTCTTAAACAAGTTAATCAGTACTACTGTAAACATTGTTCATTCAACATAATGATCCAGAAGAAGGTAAAAATTATTAAGGGTTAGGCTGAAAATGGTAGATTTTCAGCAAAGAAAATAAAGCTTAATAAATTATCCCATAAAGTCAGCTGATAGGTGCTCTTATAAATGACAATTCATGAAAGAATTTGCTTCTCACAGTTTAGTGGATACAACTGGTAGAAACCCACCTAACTGATTTCTCCAGTGCCCCAGTAAATAATTTGTAAATCATTTGGATTTTTTTTTAGTATAAATGTTCAATTTAATTTCAGTATAATAAAGACAAAAAAAAAAAAAGCAACTAACTTGTCACCCTGCACAGTAACTTTAACATAAAAGGTTTAAACTTATTTTGTCAACATTTTCTTCATTGTATATATAGCTTTAAAAAAATACCAGAAATTTGTGAGATATAGATTTACAAACAAGGCAAGAACGTATACTCTCACATTCCTGGTGAGTTAATTCTGCATTAAAGGGGCTCAAGTTATTAGTAATAAGATAGAAATTACAAGAAATCTTTTGACAGAGGTAAGAACGATTTTAGCTGGAAATCATGATGGTCTCATTTCTTCTCCTAGATAGGCAAATCATGTCTACATACTTACTAGAGCCAAATCTATCTCAAAAGTTTGGGATATTAATTTTTCTTTGTTAATATTAAATGAGAAATTAACACTTAGAATAAAACTTTTTCAGGACACCGGAGTGGCTCAGAGGTTGAACGTCTGCCTCTGGCTCAGGACGTGATCCCGGGATGTGGGATCCAGTTCCACATCAGGCTCCTTGCAGGGAACCTGCTTCTCCCTCTGCCTGTGTCTCTGCCTCTCTGTGTGTCTCTCATGAATAAATACATAAAATCTTAAAAAAAAAAAAAACTTTTTTGATGAATAAAGGATAGTAATATCCACCTTTGAAACTGAGTGCTTACAGCTAGAAGGCTATTCTATCTGAGGGCTTCTGCTCAAATGAACTGCTTGCTCACAAAGAGTCTCTGTTCCTAACTGTGTTTTTGCCAGGTGACCTCATTATTGTAATTAGATATTTTAATGATTACATAAATGATAAATTATGAGCAAAAGAAAAGGACTGCTGTTTTTATGAAAAGTTGCTTTGGGAAGACTATTTAAAGGCAAATTACTCCCAAGATAACCTGCCATCAAACTGGGTACAGATGAGCTAATTTTAAGATTAGGAAATAAATAATAAAAATCTACAATAATCTACTTTAAAAATATTTTTTTAAGAACTTGCTCTACTTTAAAGAAACTAAAACCAGAAAGCATGGATGATGTATAATGAATGCAGCTTCAAGAAAGACGCCAAAAAACTCCAATTAGCAAATCTCACACATTCTCAAAGGCCTGAGCCCTTCAAAAGAATGAACGGACATTTACATTTTAAGCTGTTTAAAGTATGTTGTTGTTGTTTTAGTGATTGATCACTTTGAGTTTTCCTAGTAACTGACAATTAATTTCAAATTCTGTCAGATAAGAGCATCTCTACCATATTTGGTGATAGTAAAACAGGACAGAACATGAAAATAATGAAGTGGAAAGACTCACAGGACTTTAGAAAAAAAAAAACAAAACAAAACTGTACATATTTTTTAGTAGCACAGAGTGACCAGAATTATCAAGTGAATGATTTTGGAGCAATGCTCGTCCCAGTGAGTGGCACTTTTATTTTTCTGCTGATTTGGAGAGTAACTAAACGTTATCATAACTTCTAAGACACCCATCATGTATCAAAATGTTTTTCATTTTTCCCAAACAGCTTCCTTTTGAAGATACCAGAGAAATTTATACATATTTTTTAGATGAAGGTGTTTGTTGTCTTTTGCCCCCAGATCTCAATGTTCAGGTTGATACTACTATTTCCTAAAGTCTAATTAAACAAGATAATACAACTTTGCCATGCCTTAAGAGCAAACCAGTAAGACTCCGAGGCAAAATGCCTGTCACCAGTTTCCACTGTGGACCAGTGGCTACACTTAAAAAACAAAATCTACACATTCATATGGGGTTTCTCTAGAACATCCATTAAGACATTTGATTGATGTATTTCTTTGTAACACACTTCCAAATTTTTCCAAATTATTCTTGCATTAGTCACTGGACCTTTTTCCTAGACTGTGTAGACTTACACTCTTTATCTATAGGAGAAAGGTATTTGATGGCTCTGCTAAAGTCAAGTGTAAGACAAAAGCTTTCATATTCTAAATGTAGGTGGGAGGAGTGGGTAACAGGGTGATGGGCATTAAGGAGGGCACCTAATGTAATGAGTACTGGGTGTTATATACAATTAAGGAATCACTGAATCTACCTCTGAAACTAATAATATACCATATGTTAATTGAATTAAATTTAAAAAAATATAAAATGAGTTATTTATGGCAAAAAACATTAAGAATATGCGGTAAGACTCAGGCTACTACTCCTGAGTCAAAATTTTATTGCTAAGGGTAAAAGACCATTAAGTGGTTCACAAAGGGCAGACTGAATAAGGAAAGCCAAACAAACAACATTTAAAATGTCTTAATAGATAATACAGTACTTGGAAGACATTCTCATAAAAAGTATTGGATTTATTATATTCTGTTAGCACTATTAAAAGTAGCTTCCGTGATGATTTGTGAATCAGTCAAATTAAAATTCCCTGTAGGAGCTAAGTTAGTGCCTGTAAAAATAATAAAAATGGAGTGATTTTATTGTCTGTTTAATTAACTTCAAAGGATTCAAAACAGACATTTACAACAAAGCAAACACAGGTCTAGAATTTACTGCTCTGAATACTAAAAGTAAAAATATGTAAAAAAGCTTTTTGGAACTTTAGTTCCTTACAAGGTTATTATTAAAACCAGCAACAATACAATTAATTTTATTACAATTAATAGTATTAAAAGGATTTTCAGTTTACAGTAAAACCAGATTTGGACTTGGTTACACCACAAATTAACTTTCTTAATACAAACAGTTAAATGCTTAATGCTTTAGCAGGACCATCTCTGCCATATGCTAGTTCTCTGCCCTGAAAGGGGCAGTTGACTTTGCACTTGTCCCTCTGCCTCAAACCCTGCCACCCCACATGCTCCCTCCCCTGTGGTCAAAGCCACCTAAATGCTGCAAAATGCCCGGTGGTTCTGTGCACAGACTCAGATTGGGATGAATCTACTGATGAACAGGGACAAGAACTCCTGCCTCCTAGGGTTATTGTCGGGTAAGTCTAGATAGGAGAAAAGGTCCTTGGTTCAGCCGTTGGCCCTGAGGAGTCCTTACTGTGTTATCTATCTTCTCACTGTTCAGCTGAAAGCCTGCCTCCCTGATGCCTACAAATGAACGGGCCAGCCCTGGATAAAGCCTTTCTGGGAGGCCCCCTACCTGACCTCTGAGCCTCAGCTCATGCTCTGCAGTGTATTAAAGAAATAAATAAAAATATTATATGAAATTAAGAGCACAGCTAGAACTATAGGCCAATTCTAAACCTGGAAATACATACTTTGCATATTTTTGCTTTGGTAAATTTAATTTTAAATAGCTGTACCTTTGACATAATAATAATGTATTATATAAATATAATACCATGTGTACCCATAAGCTGTCATTTCACTGGGAAAAAAAATTCTTACTTAGAAAAGCCCAGCATGTGTTTGAGACCCCTTTATGAGACTCTCTTATTAAATAATGAACTTTTTATTATGTGGCAGAGCCAATTTTTTTCTCCATGGACATGTGTCTCTAATTTTATGAGAGGAATCAATATAAAGATATTACTGTTTAATTTCTCAGAAGTCAATTTTTTATCCTATAAGGTGACTTTTATGTTGATTTTAAAGACTTCCAAACATTTTTGGAATAGCATTTTGGAATAGTTGAATTATTGTCACAATTCATAAATAAAATGAAGAACCTGATGCAAAGCTAACTTCAGTGCACTCTAACATTTAACCTGGATGAAATATAACTTTCATTTTTTCCCCCATCTCTCATGTCAACAGTTAAATTGAAGACTTCCTCAGGGTAAAAAAAAGTCTTTCAAGAACTCCATATAATTAAGGTTCTGAATTCATCATGGATTCAACAAATATTTACTGAGTATCTATGTACTAAGCCAGTCACCCTTTTGTACACATAAATTATGAAAGCACATATTATGACATGGCATATTGAGAAATAAGAAATTAAAAGGGAAAGTGAACACAAAATTAAAAAAAAAAACAATCACAACAAATATAACAAGAAGTTAATTTTATTTTTATCATCAGCATCAAGTAATAAAATAAACTGGAGTCAAGTACCCAGATCCCATTCTACCTTAGAACATTTTGGCCTTTGTGTTGCAGCAGAGCCTATTTACCTAAAAATGTTTATTTTATTCAAAGGTCTTCTTGGAGAAAGGAAACACTGGTGACAATATTTTTAAAAGTTAAAAAAAATCTATCGGGAACCCTGGGTGGCGCAGCGGTTTAGCGCCTGCCTTTGGCCCAGGGCGCGATCCTGGAGACCCGGGATCGAATCCCACATCGGGCTCCTGGTGCATGGAGCCTGCTTCTCTCTCTGCCTGTGTCTCTGCCTCTCTCTCTCTCTCTCTATGTGACTATCATGAATAAATACAAAAATTAAAAAAAAAATAAAATAAAAAAAATTAAAAAAAAATCTATCATCCTTATTAATTGTAATTTTGACTAGATTCCTCATGAAAATCCTCTGCCAATCAGAGCTCAAATTATGCACTTTGAACATAATTATTAACTATTTGAGATGAGTATAGTTAATAGCTAATAGTTAATAGAGAATAGTTAATAGAGAATGTGCCACTCTTTATCATCTCCAAACTACAAATGACAAATGTATTAACAATATTTAGGACCTTTTTGGTTCCCTACCAAAGTATAGAGATTCTGGGAGGAAAAAAAGCTCACGAATTCTTGGTGGAAAATTTGACACTAAAAATTAAAATAAGCCAATTACCTTTTGTCTTGTTTTGTTTTCTTTTAAATGGTAAGAAAAAAAACTTTTCATACATCTAGTTGCAAAGATTTAGATGGGCCAGCACTGGAGTTGCTTTCTAGACGGGTTAAACAATTTTTTCCAAAACACAAAGCCAGTTAGGAATAAAATCCAGGCCCTGGGACTTGGAGGGTTCAGTGCTCTGGGTATATCATCTGAAATAAGGCTGCGCTGTTTTAAAGTATGATATATGCTTTCAGAGCAAGTTACTTACTTCAGCACTATCCTGAATAGAAGAGCTGTTGTTATAATGCTAAAATTTGAGAAGATAACAGCCATGGCCTAGAAAGAAGAAGAAGATAGAGTTACAATCCAAACAAAGTAGTGACCTCAGAAATCTCCCAGTTTGCTGGTTTACCTGACAAAAAAAGCTTTTTGGTCAAGAACCTGAGAGGTTACCAGGGCAGCTATTTCACTAGAGGATTAAATTCCATTTTTATTGGGTGTTAAATTTATGCAGATATGACCAAATTATTGTACAGGCTTTAAAAACATTTTTAAATTGTTTAATAATCTGTATGTGCAGATCTGGAAATGCTTAGAAATTCGAAATGTCCAGGTCTAGAAATAACTGCTACCTTGTTTATGAAGCATCTTTTTCAAGCTCCTTAAGTGCTACTATTCACACTGTTTCCAAAGGTACAGGGAAGGCAAGTACTATTAGACCCATTTATACATTAAGAAAATTGAGGCATAGGGATCCCTGGGTGGCGCAGCGGTTTGGCGCCTGCCTTTGGCCCAGGGCGTGATCCTGGAGACCCGGGATCGAATCCCACGTCAGGCTCCCGGTGCATGGAGCCTGCTTCTCCCTCTGCCTGTGTCTCTGCCTCTCTCTCTCTCTCTCTGTGTGTGTGTGACTACCATAAATTTAAAAAAAAAAAAAAATTAAAAAAAAAAAAAAAAAAAGAAAATTGAGGCATAGATTTTTAAACATTTTTACTATTGCAGGAATTTAATCAGTTCTCCTGGCTGAACTGCAGTGACTTTGTACCAGTGATTCAATACCAGACTCCTATTGGATAGTCCTTTTATTCATATTTCTAAGTTCTAAACACTTAGAAATGTGTTAGCCCGATTTTATAAAGGACTCTTTTTGTGCATTCAGTCATATTTTACATATGAGAATATTAGCCTGAACATGTATATATTTTGGCTGGTAAAATACGAAATTTCATCATTGCTCCCCATGATTGGATCTGACAACCTTAACAATTTTTAAAAACAAATCCTACTTATTGACTTCACTTTGCTTTTTTCCTTGCTGTTTAAATTGACTAAACTCCAGAGTATTTTTCAATAGTATTATATAAGCAGCAAACATGGCTAATGTGCCGGTGAATTAAAGAAATAAGAATAAACCCAATAAAAGCCAGCAAAAATTCCAAGAACACAACATTGTTGTTTTCCCACTGAATTTTTTATGGGAAGCACTATTTTAAAGATTTCTCAATGTCCTCTGGAGACGAACGTTTATAAACCCCTGGGTAAGGGGAAGATGAAGAGCTGATTGGGAAAGTAAGTGGCTGGAAGAGGGAGGAGGCAGTGGCTCTGATCAGTCACAATAATGGTGCACACATACCTAACACCAAGCAGCCTGGCTGACCCATGAATTCTAAAACTGCTTTCCAAGCAAGAGCACAGAATAAACAAAGCACCAGAGCTCTTTGCCCCAAAACTTCCATGCGTTATCTAATTCTTTCCAACTAGACTTGGGCATGGCAATACACAGAATATACCACGTGATTGATTTTGTAATATCTGTGGTTGTGCATAATGGGGAAGGAAGAGCAAGGAAATAAGCTGGAAGAAGAGGGAAGCTGCAATTTGCTTTCATATTGGTGATGTGGGAAAGGGATATAAATATAGAGGTAATCTAAATAAAATACAACAGACATGTACTCATTGATGTGAATAATCATGTTGTTGGGTACAGGAATTCTCAGATCTGAAAAACAAAGTGGAAGTAAGAACTTACGAAAGAACACATTCTTATGTTCAAAGCACTTACTAATAATAACATGGATCACAGAGCTGAAAGGAACTTCAGGTGATCACAGGGCCCAGGTTCCTGCCTTGGGTTGGTATGGTAACATTATCCTATTTTACAGACAGACTATTGACACTTACAGTAGCTGGGGGTTGCCTGGTTACACACCTTCCTAATTGTGCAAAAGAATCTAATTCCTGTTTTCTACTTAGTGCTCTACTGGTTCCTCTTTCTTGTCCCACTCCCAAGCGGATCTGGCTATATCTAAGAGGCTTCACATAGAGAACTAGTGCCAATGAAAATCCTATTTATCATCAAAACGCCTAAATCTATTCTTTAAAGAAATTTAAAACACATTTTGGCAACAATGGCAACAGGAATTTTCATTTTATAAAACATTAGGGGGAAAACACACGGTAGTACTGAAAAAAGGAAGACCAAATTTTAATTCTGATTACTAATGATTTCTCAATTGGCATGGAGGATGCCAAGAGAGATAAGAAACATCCCTAGTATTATCAGTTATAGACAGCATTTAAAGCTGGGAGAATGTATTTTCTACCCCTAAAGACCTTGCTGCTTAAATGACAGGACTAACAGGAAAAAAGTCATGCAAACAGAATGCATATATCACATGAAAGTAGATATAGGAAATAGTAGTACACGGAGTATACGATTTTCTGAGTTCATCGTGGCCACCTGTTTGGAAGTCCTGAATGCTGAAGTTAACAGAGGTTGGTGACCACAGGACAGCTAGGAAACAGGCAGGCTGATTAAGGTTAAACAACGAGAGATGACTTCACACTCACTGCCAGGGAGCAAGTCCTGCAAAACAGTCAGCACAGCTTTCTTCAGCAACATTTAACAGCGAGAAAACGCGACAAGCAGAGTGGTAATTCAGTATTCAAATGATTCCGATGATTCTAGTCAAACCTCAGGAAGACCACTGAGGGCAAAGAGAAACTAATGCTGACAATGAAAATGTCATTAGTTCTGGGATTCATTTCTCTACGTTTTCCCAATGCTGTTTTCTATCATAATTACTTACAGGCTGAAGGTAGGAAATGACATAGAAGACAATCAAATTATCCAGGAAATAAAGAAAGGCAGGAATGGACCACTTCATGAAATTACAGAATTCCTTCCAGGAAGCACATCTCAAGTTTCTACTCTGATGATCTTCTAAAGAAAGACAGACAACAATAAACAAAGGATCTTGATGAGAATGCCCGTATTTTTAGACGAAGTAAGTTGTATTTGATTACTGATATAATTCTTTGAAAGAGGCTTAATGAATTTGCTTTTATCAGTGACTATTAGCCTCATGAAATCAAAGGCAATATAAGATTTCATTATGGTCTCTCTTCAACCTACTACCACGCTCAACTGATAATCAGCAACACCCTCAGGAATACCTAATTCCCGTTTACTTGAAACATCACTTAAAACATCTCAGGATACTTACATTTTCCCTTACTACTATGAGAGCCTAAAGCCAAGGGAGAGAGAGCAAGAAGCTAGAATATAGAGAAAAAAAAAATCCCAGCATAAATCCAGAGGGGACCAGGAAAAAAAGCTACCAGATAAAAATTTACATATATGGGAGTAAAGAAAATTAAATTTTACTAATCCTAGTATGAGTTATGATCCCATCTCTAGATTTCCAAAAACTCAGGAAAAGGTATTGTAACAAGAAAATGTAAAAGAACATGCAAAAATAGAAAACAATTTAAGTATAAGCTCTGCCAATAATGCATAGATTTCACGAGATTAAGAAATGTATTCCACCAAATAGAAACTTTTAAGAATAAAAAGAAATCTTCCTGGAAAATACCTTTAATACTCTAAATTCTACTTTACCATACATGTGAAGGCAGATCAAAGAATGGAGAGCTAAGGCTTAATGATTGGGGAATCAAGGTGGAGAATATATAGTACATGTGAGGAGCCACAAACGGCCAGATGCTTTAGATGTGAGGAAAGGATGGGTATCCTTGCTTGATAACTGATGAAACTGGAACTCAGAGAAGTTAATATAATCTCCCCCAGAATATTGTGTCTCTGCCTCTAACCCACTATACTACCTCCTCTGTAGGAAATGAGGACTGTTTTTACAATATGCTACGTATTAAATCAGACAGCAGTGATTTAGAAAATCCTAAATTTGAATAAAAACTAACTAGCTATGTGACCCAACAAAGGAAGTAGAGCAATGGCCAAGACACTAGGAAAACAGGAGTTGGAGTCCTGGCCCTGCCCCCTCCTACCCACCATTGCATAACATTTTCTCTTTGATCCTGCTTCTCCACTTGCAAAACATGGGTAATCATACCTACGTTTGTATCTTAGCGTCCTCATATATAAAATTAGTGGGCTAGACTAACATCGAACGTTTCTTTTAGTTCTAAAATGTTTTGACTCTCTCATTTTTAACAAGTATAGAGTACCACTTCAAGACTCACCTTTCTTTACAACCCAGAATGACACAAGCACACAGAAAACTAGCTTCACCAATTCTGAGCACACATTCACGGTAGTTGGAAGATAATCATACTTGTTTTCTGAAAAATAACAGAAATTTTTTTAACTATAAATTTTTATATATAAAACTATATATATAAATTAATTATAAATTCTATATAATGCTTATATGCAGTTGATATTTTATAGCTGTTTTACAACTTTATCCAGTTGGCTTGTTTTCTCTTGGATTTTTTTAATCAATTCACCTAATGTATTCACTATCCCCACCGCATTCACTGTTTTATTATTCTTGAGTTTGATAAACAGGCTTCTAATGTTTTCATCCAAGTTGCTGACAAATATGGGGAAGAGGCCAAGGCCTCTTTGGGGTATGGCATTAGAGACGGACTTTTAAACTGACCATTAAATAGCACTCAGGGACTGACTCATCAAAAGCTATGAATTTATCTGGCTGAATTAGGACCCAGGCCTGGTTCCTCTTGTGTGATTTGTCTGTCTTGCTAGAATCAAGGTACACTGTTTTGCATCCTGGCATGTACAGAAAACAGCATTTGTTGGGCACTCTGGGATAAACAGCACATTGGCATAAAAGAAGGAAGTTATTAGAGGCAAGAGGCAACTGCCCAGGGCTCTGGCTACCTCTAGGGCTGAGAGGAAATATTTGACATATCCAAACCCACTGACAAGTTGGGAAGATAGTTCTTAACTTACAAGTCAATTTAATTAGGAAATGAGGTGAGGTCAGTTATCACCTCTGTCTATTCCAAACGCTGAAAAACAACTTGCTGTATGATTTTGCTACGGACAAACATAAACGCTATTAGGTCCTATTTTAAATAATGCATTTCCCCCGCTTTTGAAACATTTGCTTGTTTCCCTTGGTCATGATATGAAAAACTAAAACTGGCCAAGTACAGGGGAAAAATGCCAGTTCAACATTCTTTCTATCCAGAACACTTTTTTTTCTTTTTTTCTGTGGTTTCCCTTGACCTTCTCAACCTAAGCATAGTCAATTCTTTGTTCATCTCGGATCTTGCTGCACTACCTATAAACCTTCATAACAGTACCCATCATGCTGTATTATAGTTACTTCTTCTGTGTATATCATATCCTTAGAACGTAAGCTCCTTATGAGAACAGGCCCACGTTAGTCATCTTCATATAACTGGCAGGTAACAGTATTCTACGTCTAATAAATGTTCACTTGAATTTAATACTTGCCTGCTATATTTTCTCCAACATTCGAAGCCTAGATAAAGCATCTCCTGTTCCCTTCTCTGAGCTTAAATTAAAGCTAGACTGAAATCATACTCTGCTATCTGCCAATAATACTTTGCACTGATCTCTATGAAATACACAAGAGCAAACATGCATACAAGAAGAATGAGGGGGGCTTCAGGTTACAACTCTCAAACTCTTGCCACTGCTCGAGAACTCACTTTGGCTTTTATTCATTTATTTTTAAATTCTATTTCTGTCATGGTAGATCCCAAACTATGACTCAGCATCATGTGAGACTTCCTTCCACATACCTTCTGCCCTCACTCGTATACCTTATTTACATCGCATCCATCCTTATCCATCTGTTTAGTACAAAGAGGAGCCATGATCCCCCTATGGCCCATTCTTCCCTTTAAAACTTTCCTTTCTCTTCAGGAACTTTGCTCCAATAAATACTTCCTCTGGATTCTATTAATTGGTTTCCTCCCCTTGGCCCTAAGTATGCTCAAACTGTCCCATTCAAAAATAAAATTTAAGATCCTACCCCTGCCCTAGTGACCATACTTTCTTTTTCTTCCTAAAATAGAATAAACATTATCTCCATTTTACCCACTTTCCATTCAGGGCTAATTCCCAAGCAATCTGGTTTCTGATCCCAACACTTTATACAAACTTCCTAGTCTCTGAGATTATCAAACATCTTCTAATTACTAGTTCCAAAGGGCATGTTTTAATCCCTATCTTATTTGATGGTGCAATTTCCTTTGCCTCCAAACTCATTTCCTTCCCTTCTACAAGTCCTGAGCATTTAGTTTTCTTATTTCTCTAACGATTCTTTCTTAACATCTAAGTGTCGGTATGGCTCTTAAATGTTGGCATTCCTTGGAGTTCTATCCTTGGCTCTTATTTTCTTATTCTGTGTGTTCTGCTCCTATGGTTTTAAATGTCAATTTAATATTAATGTCTCCAAATCTGTATCCTGGAACATTTAATGCTCACTAAACATATCCACACAAATAACTACCTCCTATTTATAAATTTAATTGGTATTTCCTTCACATATGTGATTTGCTAGACAGCGTAGAATATTGCAATGAACAAGGACATAGCTCCCGGCCTCATGGAAGGTACCTAACTAAAATTCTGTAATCTTTCTGAATTCTGTCCAACCTGCTTTTTCCTACTAGTAGCTTCCATCTTAGCTAAGAACACCATCAATCAATCTACTTAGGATCCTAAATCAGAAACTTTTGAACCATCCAATATATCACATCCTTTAATCTCCACATTCAATACATTCTCTGAGTCCTGTCTTTTCTACGTTTAGAGTTTCTTGAGTCTATCCTCTCATCTCTATCCCTACCTCCAAAGCCTTGGTTAGTCTTCATCTGTGGCTTGAATTTGCAATAATCCCGACTGGCTAATTTGCCTCCAGTCTCTTCTGAGTCGACACTCTAACCAGCTACCGTAACAGTCTCTTTCACTTTGTTTACAATCCTTCAAGCATGCCCTATCCCCTAGACTCTAAGGCCTAGAGAATAAAGTCAAAGTCCCAGCTCCTTAGCACATGAAGTCCTTAGGTATCTGAGCATGACTTTCCCCTCTGGTCAAAGACCTCTTGCCCTTTTCCTCCAAGTCCTTAAACTTTCTGCTCAATAATTCTGAAGTAGACGTTCTTACAATTCATCCTTTTTTCTTTACGTATCCATTCATTTCTATGGATTGTTGCTTCTGTTTTGAATACCCCTGCCTACCTGTCCTCTTGTGAATCAACATTGCCCTATCAGGAAGTGTTCCCGGATCCCTTTGCACTCCACGTCATCGTGTCCCAGATGGAATATATCACTTCCTCATCTAACCTATCTGCATCTTTGGTATAGAACTGCGTTTATTCTACTGTATTTTCGGGATGTTTCACATGTATGGCTTTTCTAATTAACTGAGTTCTTAAGAACAATGTCTAAGTGTTACACACTTTGAACACTGCTACTAATACTTGGCCTTGTGCCCAAGAGATAAACGTTAACTGAAGTAAAGACTTATATACACATCTGTCTCCCGAAGCAGACCATTAAGGGTCATGGTGTGATGACTTTATGTGTCCTCAATAACTAGTAAGAGGTTCTCAATACAGCTTTGTAGAATTAAACCTTATCTAAATACTAAATCCCTACATAAAACAAACAAACAAACACAACACCAGAAGGGGTGCCCGGGTGCCTCAGCTGGTTAAGTGTCTGACTCTTGGTTTCAGTTCAGGTCATGATCTCAGGATCATGAGATCAAGCCCTGCATTAGGCTCTGCACCAAACATGGAGCCTGGTTAAGATTCTCTCGCTCCAAAACCCGGGTGGCTCAGCGGTTTAGCGCCACCTTCAGCCCAGGGCGTGATCCTAGAGACCCAGGATCGAGTCCCATGTCAGGTTCCCTGCATGGCGCCTGCTTCTCCCTCTGCCTGTGTTTCTGCCTCTCTCTCTGTGTCTCTCGTGAATAAATAAAATCTTTAAAAAAAAAAAAAAAGTCTCTCTCCCTCTCCGTCTGCCCCTCCCCCACACTGTGCACAAGTAAGCTCTCTCTTAAAGAAAATACCTCTTTGGCTAATAATTTCAAAGCTAATAATCTCTACTGCCACACTGATGTAGTAATTAAGACAACACCTCACAAATGCCAAGTGACCACATATCTATTTCAAATTTATAATTACATACTGCTACAGACCCAAAGATACCTGTTGATTAATGCAATAGTCAGATGTTGAGACCTGTTCTCTAAAGGGTTTGATGCTGTACTTGACTAACCCAAATTTCACTCAGTTTCAAAAATTTTTCTTGCGGAGGAATGAAGTGTTACAGAATCAAATTTAAACATGCCTTATCGTTTACATGAAGCAGCGTACCTGAAAGGGTATTATCTCTATTTTACATGCAAGGAAACCAAAGACAGGAGGCAGGATGTGTGATTAGATGGAAGTGCTTCATATATCCCAAGGCTTAACTTACCTTCATTGGCCGAATATTTTACCAGTAGGATTCGACTTGAACTTAAGGCAATGAATACGGTGCCTAGCAGGAATGTATACATTGTTGACCAGGAGCAGAACACGGGGCGGCCACAGCACTTGCTTTCCATTGCAGTGTTTGTTAATTGCCTTAAAAAGAACATCTTGGTGAGCAATGCTCCAGGCAGATAAAGCATAGCACAAATATCACTGACAAGTGAAGAATGGAAAAGAGATTTTGTAGATGTCTGGCTACAGTTCTATCAAAACCAAGAAAACTGAGCAGCCCGGGTGGCTCAGTGGTTTAGCGCCGCCTTTGGCCCAGGGCCTGATCCTGGGGATCCGGGATCGAGTCCCATGTCGGGGTCCCCGCGTGGAGCCTGCTTCTTCCTCTGCCTGTATCTCTGCCTCTCCCTCTCTCTCATGATTAAATAAATAAAATCTTAAAAAAAAAAAAAAACAACAAGAAAATTGAGAACAAGACAAACGATGGGGAAGGGGGGTGGGGAGGGAATGAAAAAGAGTCACAACTGGATAGGAGGGGCAACCTGAGAGACAGAAAGAAAAGGCAGTGCCAGATTTTAGGCGCTGCCCAAAGTAGCAGGTGAGCAAGCGACACTCCGGGACCGCGCAATTCTGCAGAGAGCGGCTTCAACTTCCATCCCTATTAGCGACTTTGCTACGGAGGAAGAGATTTTCAGATTTCTGTCGTTCTCCTCGGCGGCAGCTCTTCCCTAGAAAGATGGGGGCGGGGAGGGGAAGAGCTGGCTGGGAAAGATTTCGTTAACAGTAATAACCAGCCAAATGGAAGTATTTGAAACAAGTCAGAGCTGAGAATCTGTACTCGTGCTGAAAGCAAAAGGAGAACTCAGAAATCAAGGGGCTGGAAGATCGTCCTTTGATATGTTGAGGAAACTAAGCTCTGGGCTGGGTCACTTGCCCAAGGCCTCCCAGAGCAGCGATGATGCCCTGGGCCTGCGAGACCGGGGAGAGACGCACAGCCCACCTGCGCTCCAGCGTGGAGCCCTAAGAGGCGCCTCCCTAACCAGGGAGGCAGGACTCCCTCGGGGGGGGGGGGGGGGGGCGGGGCTGGTCGCACATGCGCAGGGGCGATCTCGAGCGGCGCGCGCTCCCCTCCTACGCACGCGCACTTCTTTGCCAGCCGGGCGAGGTTACCTCCGTCCGTCCGAAGGGCTTCTGGTAGAGGAGCGCACGTCCTAGAGCCGAGGTAGTGGCCGTGCAGCTCCGCAGAGGCGGCAGAGGCTGTTAAGGTCCATAGCTGCGGAAGCCATGGGGAGGAAGGAAAGGCGAAAAAGCCTCGGCCCCCGACCCTCCTATTCCGGAACGAAAAGCACAATAACGTCCGGACTGGGAGAGAGCGGACCCGGCACACAGTGCGCACGCGCGCCCGGCGTTCCGCTTCCGGGAGGAGGGGCAGGAGCGTCCTGAGCCCGCCCCAGCGCGCCCTTTCTCTCGTCACGTGTCGGGAGAGTCCTGGGTCACGTGAGGCCCAGGTGGCGGCGGAGCTACGGCGAGAGAGAGAGACGGGGAAGCCGGAAGGGGCGCGAGTGCCGCCGAGGGGAGCCGACAGCTCCTGAGAGGCGACGGGTGTGCGTGCGCCCGCCGCCCTCCCCCGGCGCCCGCCGCCCGCCGCCCGCCGCCCGCCGCCCTCCCTCGCGGCCCGCGCCGCCGCGCCTGCCTGGGTGGCCGGCAGCGCGCGCCCTGCCCTCGCGGTCGGCGCCGGCCGCCCCTCCCCCTCGTCCCGTCCGCGCCGTCGCGTCCAGTCCCGTCCCCTCCCGTCCCCTCGGGCGCCGGGGGCCGATGCGCGGCGGCTGCGGCGGCGGCGGCGGCGGCGGCGGGGAGTTCCCGTGAGTCCCGGCCCCAGGATGCAGAATGTGATTAACACGGTGAAGGGAAAGGCGCTGGAAGTGGCTGAGTACCTGACCCCGGTCCTCAAGGTAAGCCGGGCCGGGCTTGCCGGGGGCGGCCAGGGGGGGACGCGGCAGGGGGTGCAGCCCCGCCGGGGGCCCCCAGCTGCTCTCCGGGGCTCTCGGGCCCTGGGGGTCAGCGTGGGGCGCCGCGGGGTGCGCACTGCTGTCCCCTCCCCCCCCCCCCCCCGCCCCGGACCCGGCGCGTCCGGTGCGTCCCGCCCGAGGGGGTCGGCAGCGGGGTACATCCCACCCGGGAAGCTCCGACCGTGACATCCGAAGTCTGTCCTGCTCTTTAACGAGGGCTCTGCTGATCTTTCAGAAAACGGAATCCGTATTGGGTACCAAAATGACACATGTCACTGTTTTCTTTCGTACTTCCTAGGAAAGCCCTCTTAGCATAAGGAGTTTGAAATACGAAGTGGTGACTGAGGTCCTGAGGTCCTCCCTCTGTTGTTAGGATTTCAGAGGAACGAGGTGAATTGCAGCATTATCGCTGTCGGTATCCTTGATCCCAAATAACAGGGGGGAAGCGGTTTTTAAAAATAGCCGAGAAACTGTAAAGCCTGGACTTCATTGATGATAAGCAGCAAGCAGCCCGGCCCTCCGAGATATATTTACTTTTTTTTTTCTTTTGTCTTGTCAATAATACAGCGTCTTTAAAGTGGAAGTTGTCACAGATTAGCTGTGTGACAGCAGTGACTTTATGTTTGAGAGATTTTTTAAGCGTTCAGTCAAAAGTTTGCAAATTTTCTTTTTAAAGATTTTATTTATTCGTGAGAGACACACGCAGAGAGAGGCAGAGACACAGGCAGCGGGAGAAGCAGGCTCCACGCAGGGAGCCCGACGTGGGACTCGATCCCGGGTCTCCAGGATCAAGCCCTGGGCCGAAGGCAGGCGCTAAACCGCTGAGCCCCCCCCCCCCCCCCCCGGGCATCCCAAAATTTTACAGATTTTACTGTGAAGATGAAATATCCTTGGATATGGTTGGTTCCCTCTTCAAATCATTGTTCCGGTATGCTAAGAACAGTGGAGAGTTGAACTTTGCTCTCTTTCCATGAAGAAGGGAAGTGTTGGTCCTGTATTTTTTTTTATATGTGTATATATATATATATTTTAAAGATTTATTTATTTATTTATTTATGATAGAGAGAATATGAGAGAGAGAACCAGGCAGAGGGAGAAGCAGGCTCCATGCCGGGAGCCCGAAACGGGACTCGATCCCAGGTCTCCAGGATCGCCCCTGGGCCAAAGGCAGGCGCCAAACCGCTGAGCCACCCAGGGATCCCCTTTCTTATATTACTAAGACTGATTTTAAAATGATAACTTTTGGGCCAAGTTAAAAAAAGAAAGAAAACTATGAGAATTCAAACTCTTGCTATGCTTACATATTTTTTTTATTGTGAAATGTCTCGTAATTAATATTAGTCACCTTAGAAGATGAATTTGACGTTTGAATCAAATGATTCTTTTGCGTATCATGGCATCTTTCAGAAACCTGTCTACCTGTATCCGACATTTAAATAATGCATAATTACTAAACTTTTTAGAGAGGAAAATGAAAGAAAAAAATTCCCAAATTAAATATTAAACTGCTTGCCGCATTGTTACCCAATCGTGTTTTTTTGAACTTAAAATAGAATTGTGTTTTGAGAAATCATTTTATTTATTCTCTAAACTGAAAAGTCAAGTGTTAGCTTGTCAGTATGTACTTGTCAGTCTGTATTTTTAGTAATAAGGAAAGCAGAATTATTGACCTTCTCCTTGCCTGTCCCTGTTTAAGAGAGAATCCTTATAGAGGCAAAGAGGAAAAACTAAATCCCTTGGAAAGAAACATTGACTTAACCTAGCAGGTAGAAATTAAGAAAAGTCATGGTGCGGTAAAAGCCAAAGTCTACAGTGATCTTCAGGCCTCTGCTTGATTGGTAGAGAGGCGCTTATTTCCACTACTACTTTTTCATTGCTCACTTGCTGCAGCCAGTCTGAGCTACATTAATGCTCTCTTACCTTGGTTCTTTGTATTCGCGGCTTCATCTGCCTAAAATACTCTTTTACAGCATTCTGGCTTGTTCATTTTTTTAAGGTGTTTGCTCAGTAGTCACCTATCAGTGAAGCCTTTGTTTTCTTACCATTCTATTATGTTTATTTATTTAAGTGTTGTTTTGTTTTTTAATTTTAGAGAGAGCAAGGGAAGGGGGGGATGAGTAGAGGAAGAGGGAGAGAGAAGCTCAAGCAAACTCCACACCCAGCATGGAGCCCAACGTGGTGCCTGATTTCATGATCCTGAGATCAGACCTTAGCTGAAACCAAGAGTTGGATGGTGAACCAACTATTGCCATCCAGGCATCCCTTTTTTTTTTTTTTTTTTTTTTAAAGATACTTATTTTAGAGAGTGTGTGTGTAGGCAAGTGTGGGTAGGGTCAGAAGGAGAGGGAGAGAGAGACTCCTCACACTGACTCCCCTCTGAGCTTAGAGCCTGCTGTGATGTGGGGACTCCATCCCAGGACCCTGAGATCATGACCTGAGCAGAAAGCAAGAGCTGGCCACCTAACCAACTGAGCCACCTAGGCACCCTACCATCTTATTTTAAATCTCTCTCCCCACCCCTGACCAGTTTCCTAGCTGCCTCATTTTTCCTGGTGGTTTTCATTACCATTTGGCTTTATTGGCTTTTCTCCCTCTGCTAGACTTTATTTATTTATTTATTTATTTATTTATTTATTATTTATTTATTTATTTATTTTTTAGATTTATGATAGTCACAGAGAGAGAGAGAGAGAGAGAGAGGCAGAGACACAGGCAGAGGGAGAAGCAGGCCCCACGCACCGGGAGCCCGACGTGGGACTCGATCCCGGGTCTCCAGGATCGCGCCCTGGGCCAAAGGCAGGCACCAAACCACTGCGCCACCCAGGGTTCCCTCTGCTAGACTTTAAACGCCTTGTGAGGACAAGGATGAGTTTGGTCTATTTTATGCACCTCTATATCCCCATTACTTGAAATAGTGCCTGGCACATAGTGGTTATTCAGTAGATACTCATTGAATGAATAATGTTCATAAATGAATCCTTTCATTTTTGTGATCTGTACTACAGAATCTTATATTTAACTTAAAATTTAGCAACATTTGGAATATAGCATCTTTAGAGAGGAGAATATTATATCAATATCTTGAAGATAATGGAAAGGATTAAATAATTTATGACTTCTAGGCTTGGTTTCTAATATTATTCAATTGAAATGAGATGTCGGAGATGTTGGCTTAATAGTAAGCTAGCTAAACATTTTTAAGACATTTTTACTGTTCTGTAAAATAAAGATATTTGGTCATTTCACAAAATCATTGTAAGGCTTAATGTTGTATAAACCTTTGGATGTTTTTCCAAAGAGCTTTGCTCTGTTATAGCACTGATCTAATTGTATTGTAATTATTTTCATGTCAGTTTCCTTCATTAGACTTTTGTATATTCCTTGGGGTCAGGTATCAGTGATGGGTTCTTTTTTGTATGTGCTCTGTTGCTTGGAAGGGTGCTAGGTGAATACTTGCCCACAAACATTTTTAGTTTGAAAGTGAAAGAGTATATAATATGTTATTCTTTTTGCTCTTTTTAGGAATCAAAATTTAAGGAAACAGGTGTTATCACCCCAGAAGAGGTGAGTGTTAAAAATATTCTGAAACTATTATATTTTATAATTATATTTAAGTGGGTGGGGGTTTTTTGCTTTAAGAAATGTTTAAGAGATGTTTAAGAAAACAAATTTCAATCTTGATTTGAATAAAATTAGATTCTTTTGACTGTATTAGCAATTTTATAGGGATTTCTACTTCCTCTTAAGACCATGTAACTTCCCTCTCAGTTTGCCACTTCTCATATTTCTCTGTAGTTCCTCTTTATTTAGAAATGGAGGTGGGAGAAGGAATGGAAAAGATTCCTATGGTCATTTACCCTTCACTCATATTTGTATTATATTGAAGTTATATATTATATTGAAGTTATATTGAATGGGCTTTGTGGTGTTGGCTGTTGTCTTGCCTCTCTCTACATCAAACATGAGTTTTCATGGCTTTTCATTTGGAAACTGGCTCACTGCTTGGATATTAAGTTTCTTTCAGTATTTAGCTTAAATATTTTATTGCTAGATACTGTATGCTGATTTTTTTTTTCACAATTCTTTCACTTTTTCTACTAACCAAGTAATGTTGAATCTACTTACTGCTGAAACTGAGGTCTATTTTATAGGTTAGTTGTGTTTTATTGAACTTTTAACCTAGAATTATGTTTTGAGGAATCATTTTACTTGTTCACCAAATGTATAGAATAAAAGCGTTCTCTTAGGTAGTTTGTTTTGTTATCCTTACAGAAATGCTGTTGTAGAAATTCTTTCACATTCTAGTTGTATGAATAGTTATGGTTGCATCAGACTTATTTTTTAGTCTTAATAAGTAGCAAAGAATTATTTAAGCTCAC